CTCGAACAGCACTTGAAATGGGATGGAACCACGGCAGACTGTCCAAAACTGGATTTGAACGGGTCCACCGCGTCCCCCCCTCCCCCACCCCGTCCCCAGAACTACACATGCTGGCTATTCTGTTTCGCAACATGTTCTGTATCTATGGCACGTCTCTACTGGGAGTTGTAGTTTTAAAAGACGTTTTCGTATTTCCAGTGGAGTCCCTGCATCGACTGGGCTGTTTCGGCCAAAAACAAAAAAGGTTCTGCAAAATAATAAGCAGGTGGTCCTAATGTCGTGGCTGAGGGGTGTGTGTGTGTGCGTGTGTGTGTGTGTGTGTGTGTGTGTGTGTGTGTGTGTGTGTGTGTGTGTGTGTGTGTGTGTGTGTGTGTGTGTGTGTGTGTGTGTGTGTGTGTGTGTGTGTGTGTGTGTGTGTGTGTGTGTGTGTGTGTGTGTGTGTGTGTGTGTCTCTCTCTCTGACCCTGCTCAGCATCGCGACCCCAGCCTGCGATGAAGCAGCTTCCTGTCGGGATGTCCTCACCTTCAGAGGGTAAACACAGCGGCTGGATCCACCCTGAGGACACATCATCATCATCATGATCATCATCATCGTTAGTATGTGTGTGTGAGTGTGTGTGTGTGTGTGTCACACTAACGGCTGAAGCTGATTGGCTCCTGCAGGTGCATCATGGCGATGTCGGCCTCTTTGCTCCGCCGGTCGTACTTCCTGTTGATCACGATGCGATCGACTCGTCGGGTCTGAGCCGCGTTGGAGTCGCTCTGAGCGTAAAGAGCGAAGACAGCTAACCAGGCATCGAGCTGCACGTTCTTCCTGTTGAGGGTTGTTGTTGTTATTGTTTATGGTGAGGAGTTTTTATTGTTTGTTATTGTTTATGTTCAGAGCTCTGAGGCCTGCACTACGAAGCAGGATTTTCGCTTAGCGGCTAACTTCAGGTTAACTCCGGGTTTCCGGTCTGGTTCTCTTTTTAGCGGGCTAGATCTCCATGGTAACTGATGCTGAGCGGCTAGCCTGGTCCGGAGCAGGTTAGGTTGCAGTCTAAGAGATCCACCTCTTACCTAGACTACCTCACCAACCGCCCACAGTACGTAAGGACCAGGGAGGGCCAATCAGACACCATCATCAGCACTACGGGGCCGGTGCTGGCACCGTTTCTCTTCACCCTCTCCACTACAGACTTCACCCTCTGGTGCCAGAGGAGCCTCCTCCAGAGGAACCAGCTCCAGAGGAGCCTCCTCCAGAGGAACCAGCTCCAGAGGAGCCTCCTCCAGAGGAACCACCTCCGGAGGAACCAGCTCCAGAGGAACCTCCTCCAGAGGAACGAGCTCCAGAGGAGCCTCCTCCAGAGGAACCACCTCCAGAGGAGCCTCCTCCAGAGGAACCAGCTCCAGAGGAACCACCTCCAGAGAAACCAGCTCCAGAGGAACCAGCTCCAGAGGAGCCTCCTCCAGAGGAACCACCTCCAGAGAAACCAGCTCCAGAGGAACCAGCTCCAGAGGAGCCTCCTCCAGAGGAACCAGCTCCAGAGAAACCAGCTCCAGAGGAACCAGCTCCAGAGGAGCCTCCTCCAGAGGAACCACCTCCAGAGAAACCAGCTCCAGAGGAGCCTCCTCCAGAGGAACCACCTCCAGAGGAACCAGCTCCAGAGGAATCTCCTCCAGAGGAACCAGCTCCAGAGGAACCACCTCCAGAGGAACCAGCTCCAGAGGAGCCTCCTCCAGAGGAACCACCTCCAGAGAAACCTCCTCCAGAGGAGCCTCCTCCAGAGGAACCACCTCCGGAGGAACCAGCTCCAGAGAAACCTCCTCCAGAGGAGCCTCCTCCAGAGGAACCACCTCCGGAGGAACCACCTCCAGAGAAACCTCCTCCAGAGGAGCCTCCTCCAGAGGAACCACCTCCAGAGAAACCTCCTCCAGAGGAGCCTCCTCCAGAGGAACCACCTCCAGAGGAGCCTCCTCCAGAGGAACCACCTCCAGAGGAACCAGCTCCAGAGGAACCAGCTCCAGAGGAGCCTCCTCCAGAGGAACCACCTCCAGAGGAACCAGCTCCAGAGGAACCAGCTCCAGAGGAGCCTCCTCCAGAGGAACCAGCTCCTGAGGAGCCTCCTCCAGAGGAGCCTCCTCCAGAGGAACCAGCTCCAGAGGAGCCTCCTCCAGAGGAACCAGCTCCAGAGGAGCCTCCTCCAGAGGAACCACCTCCAGAGGAACCAGCTCCAGAGGAGCCTCCTCCAGAGGAACCAGCTCCAGAGGAACCAGCTCCAGAGGAGCCTCCTCCAGAGGAACCACCTCCGGAGGAACCAGCTCCAGAGGAACCACCTCCAGAGGAGCCTCCTCCAGAGGAACCACCTCCAGAGGAGCCTCCTCCAGAGGAACCACCTCCAGAGGAACCAGCTCCAGAGGAACCAGCTCCAGAGGAACCAGCTCCAGAGGAGCCTCCTCCAGAGGAGCCTCCTCCAGAGGAGCCTCCTCCAGAGGAGCCTCCTCCAGAGGAACCTCCTCCAGAGAAACCAGCTCCAGAGGAGCCTCCTCCAGAGGAACCACCTCCAGAGGAACCAGCTCCAGAGGAATCTCCTCCAGAGGAACCACCTCCAGAGGAACCAGCTCCAGAGGAACCACCTCCAGAGGAACCAGCTCCAGAGGAGCCTCCTCCAGAGGAGCCTCCTCCGGAGGAGCCTCCTCCAGAGGAGCCTCCTCCAGAGGAACCACCTCCAGAGGAGCCTCCTCCAGAGGAACCACCTCCAGAGAAACCAGCTCCAGAGGAACCACCTCCAGAGGAACCAGCTCCAGAGGAGCCTCCTCCAGAGGAACCACCTCCAGAGGAACCAGCTCCAGAGGAACCAGCTCCAGAGGAGCCTCCTCCAGAGGAACCACCTCCAGAGGAACCAGCTACAGAGGAACCCGCTCCAGAGGAGCCTCCTCCAGAGGAACCACCTCCGGAGGAACCAGCTCCAGAGGAGCCTCCTCCAGAGGAACCAGCTCCAGAGGAACCAGCTCCAGAGGAGCCTCCTCCAGAGGAACCACCTCCAGAGGAACCAGCTCCAGAGGAACCAGCTCCAGAGGAGCCTCCTCCAGAGGAACCACCTCCAGAGGAACCACATCCAGAGGAACCAGCTCCAGAGGAGCCTCCTCCAGAGAAACCACCTCCAGAGGAACCAGCTCCAGAGGAACCAGCTCCAGATGAGCCTCCTCCAGAGGAACCAGCTCCAGAGGAGCCTCCTCCAGAGGAACCACATCCAGAGGAACCAGCTCCAGAGGAGCCTCCTCCAGAGAAACCACCTCCAGAGGAACCAGCTCCAGAGGAACCAGCTCCAGATGAGCCTCCTCCAGAGGAACCAGCTCCAGAGGAGCCTCCTCCAGAGGAACCAGCTCCAGAGGAACCAGCTCCAGAGGAACCAGCTCCAGAGGAGCCTCCTCCAGAGGAACCAGCTCCAGAGGAACCAGCTCCAGAGGAGCCTCCTCCAGAGGAACCAGCTCCAGAGGAGCCTCCTCCAGAGGAACCAGCTCCAGAGAAACCAGCTCCAGAGGAACCAGCTCCAGAGGAGCCTCCTCCAGAGGAGCCTCCTCCAGAGGATCCACCTCCAGAGGAATCTCCTCCAGAGGAACCAGCTCCAGAGGAATCTCCTCCAGAGGAACCAGCTCCAGAGGAGCCTCCTCCAGAGGAACCACCTCCAGAGAAACTAGCTCCAGAGGAGCCTCCTCCAGAGGAACCACCTCCGGAGGAACCAGCTCCAGAGGAACCACCTCCAGAGGAGCCTCCTCCAGAGGAACCACCTCCAGAGGAGCCTCCTCCAGAGGAACCACCTCCAGAGGAACCAGCTCCAGAGGAACCAGCTCCAGAGGAGCCTCCTCCAGAGGAACCACCTCCAGAGGAGCCTCCTCCAGAGGAACCTCCTCCAGAGAAACCAGCTCCAGAGGAGCCACCTCCAGAGGAACCAGCTCCAGAGGAATCTCCTCCAGAGGAACCACCTCCAGAGGAACCAGCTCCAGAGGAACCACCTCCAGAGGAACCAGCTCCAGAGGAGCCTCCTCCAGAGGAACCAGCTCCAGAGGAGCCTCCTCCAGAGGAACCACCTCCGGAGGAACCAGCTCCAGAGGAACCACCTCCAGAGGAGCCTCCTCCAGAGGAACCACCTCCAGAGGAGCCTCCTCCAGAGGAACCACCTCCAGAGGAACCACCTCCAGAGAAACCAGCTCCAGAGGAACCACCTCCAGAGGAACCAGCTCCAGAGGAGCCTCCTCCAGAGGAACCACCTCCAGAGGAACCAGCTCCAGAGGAACCAGCTCCAGAGGAGCCTCCTCCAGAGGAACCACCTCCAGAGGAACCAGCTCCAGAGGAGCCTCCTCCAGAGGAACCACCTCCAGAGGAACCAGCTACAGAGGAACCCCCTCCAGAGGAGCCTCCTCCAGAGGAACCACCTCCGGAGGAACCAGCTGCAGAGGAACCACCTCCAGAGGAACCAGCTCCAGAGGAGCCTCCTCCAGAGAAACCACCTCCAGAGGAACCACCTCCAGAGGAACCAGCTCCAGAGGAGCCTCCTCCAGAGGAACCACCTCCAGAGGAGCCTCCTCCAGAGGAACCACCTCCAGAGGAACCAGCTCCAGATGAGCCTCCTCCAGAGGAACCAGCTCCAGAGGAGCCTCCTCCAGAGGAACCAGCTCCAGAGGAGCCTCCTCCAGAGGAACCAGCTCCAGAGGAACCAGCTCCAGAGGAACCAGCTCCAGAGGAGCCTCCTCCAGAGGAACCAGCTCCAGAGGAGCCGCCTCCAGAGGAACCACCTCCAGAGGAGCCTCCTCCAGAGGAACCAGCTCCAGAGGAACCAGCTCCAGAGGAGCCTCCTCCAGAGGAACCAGCTCCAGAGGAGCCTCCTCCAGAGGAACCAGCTCCTGAGGAGCCTCCTCCAGAGGAACCAGCTCCAGAGGAGCCTCCTCCAGAGGAACCAGCTCCTGAGGAGCCTCCTCCAGAGGAACCAGCTCCAGAGGAACCAGCTCCAGAGGAGCCTCCTCCAGAGGAACCAGCTCCAGAGGAGCCTCCTCCAGAGGAACCAGCTCCAGAGGAGCCTCCTCCAGAGGAACCACCTCCAGAGGAACCAGCTCCAGAGGAATCTCCTCCAGAGGAACAACCTCCAGAGGAACCAGCTCCAGAGGAATCTCCTCCAGAGGAACCAGCTCCAGAGGAGCCTCCTCCAGAGGAACCACCTCCAGAGAAACTAGCTCCAGAGGAGCCTCCTCCAGAGGAACCACCTCCGGAGGAACCAGCTCCAGAGGAACCACCTCCAGAGGAGCCTCCTCCAGAGGAACCACCTCCAGAGGAACCAGCTCCAGAGGAACCAGCTCCAGAGGAACCACCTCCAGAGGAGCCTCCTCCAGAGGAACCACCTCCGGAGGAACCAGCTCCAGAGGAACCAGCTCCAGAGGAGCCTCCTCCAGAGGAACCAGCTCCAGAGGAACCAGCTCCAGAGGAGCCTCCTCCAGAGGAACCACCTCCAGAGGAACCACCTCCAGAGGAACCACCTCCAGAGGAGCCTCCTCCAGAGGAACCAGCTCCAGAGGAACCAGCTCCAGAGGAACCAGCTCCAGAGGAACCAGCTCCAGAGGAGCCTCCTCCAGAGGAACCAGCTCCTGAGGAGCCTCCTCCAGAGGAGCCTCCTCCAGAGGAACCAGCTCCAGAGGAGCCTCCTCCAGAGGAACCAGCTCCAGAGGAGCCTCCTCCAGAGGAACCAGCTCCAGAGGAGCCTCCTCCAGAGGAACCACCTCCAGAGGAACCAGCTCCAGAGGAGCCTCCTCCAGAGGAACCAGCTCCAGAGGAACCAGCTCCAGAGGAACCAGCTCCAGAGGAGCCTCCTCCAGAGGAACCACCTCCAGAGGAACCACCTCCGGAGGAACCAGCTCCAGAGGAACCAGCTCCAGAGGAACCAGCTCCTGAGGAGCCTCCTCCAGAGGAGCCTCCTCCAGAGGAACCAGCTCCAGAGGAACCAGCTCCAGAGGAGCCTCCTCCAGAGGAACCAGCTCCTGAGGAGCCTCCTCCAGAGGAACCAGCTCCAGAGGAGCCTCCTCCAGAGGAACCACCTCCAGAGGAACCAGCTCCAGAGGAGCCTCCTCCAGAGGAACCACCTCCAGAGGAACCAGCTACAGAGGAGCCTCCTCCAGAGGAACCACCTCCAGAGGAACCAGCTCCAGAGGAACCAGCTCCAGAGGAGCCTCCTCCAGAGGAACCAGCTCCAGAGGAGCCTCCTCCAGAGGAACCACCTCCAGAGGAACCAGCTCCAGAGGAGCCTCCTCCAGAGGAACCACCTCCAGAGGAACCAGCTACAGAGGAACCAGCTCCAGAGGAGCCTCCTCCAGAGGAACCACCTCCGGAGGAACCAGCTCCAGAGGAACCAGCTCCAGAGGAACCAGCTCCAGAGGAGCCTCCTCCAGAGGAACCACCTCCAGAGGAACCACCTCCGGAGGAACCAGCTCCAGAGGAACCAGCTCCAGAGGAACCAGCTCCTGAGGAGCCTCCTCCAGAGGAGCCTCCTCCAGAGGAACCAGCTCCAGAGGAACCAGCTCCAGAGGAGCCTCCTCCAGAGGGAAGAGACTGAACAGACTGGTAAGGAAGGCCAGCTCTGTCCTGGGGAGTCCTCTGGACACTGTGGAGGAGGTGGGAGACAGGAGTCCTCTGGACACTGTGGAGGAGGTGGGAGACAGGAGTCCTCTGGACACTGTGGGGGAGGTGGGAGACAGGAGTCCTCTGGGCACTGTGGAGGAGGTGGGAGACAGGAGTCCTCTGGACACTGTGGAGGAGGTGGGAGACAGGAGTCCTCTGGGCACTGTGGAGGAGGTGGGAGACAGGAGTCCTCTGGACACTGTGGAGGAGGTGGGAGACAGGAGTCCTCTGGGCTGGCGGCTAAACCCTTGTTACTGTTACGAGGTATGTATTTAGTAGATCGTGTAACTTGCTGCTGTTAAATACCGTCAAACTATGTGCAATATATACTTTATATACACATGCCATCTTTAAGAACTGTAATATTTACCGGGCTGCTAAATCCTAAGAGCTGCTACAGGATTTGATTTTTATCTGTATTTTGAAAATTATGTAACTTTTTTTTGTTTTTATCTTTTTTTGAGCATATTGTTTATTATATTATAACTTAGTACTTTTTGAACGCATGTAAGATATGCAACACGAAGCTGTCTGTGGCTCTTTCCTGCTGTAACGCTGCACATCTCCGCTCTGTGGGACTAATAAAGGTATTCTGATTCTGAACTCAGTGAAAGCACCGCCTGCTGACCAATCAGAGCTCAGTGTGTGAGTTTAAAGCGATCAAGTCATATTACAGGAGAAAGGAAATACAGAAAAGCTGCCGTTGCCGGAAAGACGGCCGGCAACAATCAGCGACTGTGTGAACGTGAACATGAATAGAATATCAGCTCCATCTTCAGAGCAATCTGACTATTATAACATTAGCGTTAAGAAAGCTTACTGAAATATCTGCCACAACATAAGTAACCGGATCAGAGTCACATTAAGTACAGTCCATATCACTTCATAATGTATCATCTCCTGATCTGAGTCAGCTGAGCCGTATCTGGCCGTGCAACACTCACAGCGTCACAGACTGGATGCAGAAGCATTATTTGAAGCAACACATTAAGTTGAGGAAACACTGGAGTCAAATGTAATGAAAGTCAGATGGTGTCTTAGACGGGCAGTGATATCATAAAGCTGTTAATGTACGCATTCAAACACTTGTTCTGTTCCCAGCTGTGTTCACCTTGCAGGTGCAGCTCTGTGGCTTTGATCCTGGATCAAGTGTTTAAGTCATGGATGTTTCAACTTTAACTTCTTCATATGTCTAATATTATAGTTGACTTTTCATTCAGGAAGTATGACGCTGCGCTGTCAGTGCGCTTCTCCATGTCTGTGATTGGTCGAATGCTCCAGATACCACCCCTCTCATGTGAACACCTAGCTAGATAGGACACGATCCACTTGATAACCCGCGTCGTAGGACCGCTTAGCGAGAGCGCGTATGTTTTGGATTAGGCCAACCGGCTAACTCAAACATATCCAGGTTAGGTTGAACCGGCTTCGTAGTACAGACCTCTGGTGTTGTTTGTTGTTGTTAATGGGCAGGTGTTGTTTGTTGTTGTTCTCACCCGAACACACAGTGAGCCGCGGTCAGCAGCCAGTCTGGACCAATCACAGAGGCTCCACACACGTGACGCCCCCCCCCAATGCAGAGAGACAATCCAAGGCCACGCCCCCTTCTCCGCATTAGCCCCGCCCACCACCCTGACCTCACCTGGAAAATAAATATACATCAGAGCAAGTCGGGGAATAAATAAGTCAGAGATCAGATGGACAGGTTACCGGGGTCAGCTGTCCTCTCTTCTGATTGGTCCTTGTCGCTGGTCTTAGTCACCTGTCGAACTCCACACGCTGAAACACAGACAGTATATTTAATCCTTTGCTTTACCTTAAAGTGTTTGAAGGTGCAGGCGGACAGGTGCTCACGCTGGTTGTCACAGTTCAGAGAAACCACTTCCTGTCTGCTGCAGGTGTCTCTGTCCAACACACAGAAACACAACAATATCTTCGATTGACTAAATGTTGAATCTGCAGGTGTCTCCAAACACACAGAAACATGACCTCATATTCTAAATGTTTAAATGTTGAATCTGCAGGTGTGTCGTACGTCTCTCTGAGCGTCAGCGTCCCATTGGTCCAGCTGATCCAGGTGAAAGGTGAGTCCTCGGCCCGGGCTGGCAGCAGCTGAGCCCCTCCCCACCTGCAGAGAGAACACCTGAGCTCACCTTTATACTCATTATAATGCATCCCATCATGCCTCAGGGTCAGAGGGTTACCTGTATCCCAGGTACTGACAGGTGAACACAGACAGGTGAGGACTCCAGGTGTCAGAACACACCGTGAGACGAGAGAACACACGCTGGAACTGGAGACGAGAGGACGTGTAGACAACTGCCACACACACACACACACACACACACACACACACACACACACACACACACACACACACACACACACACACACACACACACACACACACACACACACACACACACACACACACACACACACACACACACACACACACACACACACACACACACACACACACACACACACACCACACACACACACACACACACACACACACACACACACACACACACACACACACACACACACACACACACACACACACACACACACACACACACACACACACACACACACACACACACACCACACACACACACACACACACACACACACACACACACACACACACACACACACACACACACACACACACACACACACACACAGTGTGAGACAGGTGGACAGGTAGACAGGTGAGATAGGTAGACAGGTGGAAAGGTGTGGATGTCTCACCACAGTCTGACTCGTCGGAGGCGTCCGGACAGTCCACCTGTCCGTCACACTGACCGTTTCCATGGATACAACTTCCTGTCCGACACTGAAACTGACCCTCAGCACACGCAGCTGATCGTAAACAAAAAAATAATGAACATAATAAACAATAATAAATAAACCTTCTGACCCTGTGTGACCTCTGACCTCACCTGGTGACCCCAGGTTGGCCCCGGAGCTGAAGTTGGCTCTGAAGCCCCTCCCATGTCCCGAGGCGTCAGAATAGAACCACACCGTCATCTGATTGGCCGTGGACAACAGCGTGTGGGCGGGGCCGGAGCTGCCGCTGAGGACGGCTGCTCAGAGACACAGGTGAGACACAGGGGGCACAGGTGAGACACAGGGGGCACAGGTGAGACACAGGGGGCACAGGTGAGACACAGGGGGCACAGGTGAGACACAGGGGGCACAGGTGAGACACAGGGGGCACAGGTGAGACACAGGGGGCACAGGTGAGACAGGTGAGACACAGGGGGCACAGGTGAGACACAGGGGGCACAGGTGAGACACAGGGGGCACAGGTGAGACAGGTGAGACACAGGGGGCACAGGTGAGACAGGTGAGACACAGGGGGCACAGGTGAGACACAGGGGGCACAGGTGAGACACAGGGGGCACAGGTGAGACACAGGGGCACAGGTGAGACAGGTGAGACACAGGCATGGACAAACTAAGGCCCGTTGGGCTTTTGAATCCGGCCCGCCGAATATTGGTACAACATTGTCCAAATTATAGTAAAGCCCGCAATAATTTTGCCTTTTTCCTGCAATACCCGGCATTTCAGTCGATCCCACTAGATGGCGCACTCTAGACACATTGACCTTTGCTGGAGTCTGGTCTATTCTCTGGCCCCACTCGGCAACCCAGCAAGGTCTAAGAACCAAATACGTCACGCTTACATTGGAGGGGTCGAGATCAACACGCAGTAACAGTTCATGGCGAATACAGCGAATACAAGTTGTAACGAGCAGTAGCGCTGAGCAGAGTGACCAGAACGCGACCACACACTTATTAAAACACTTATATCAAGTCAGGCAACACTAACACCTTAGTGTGGTTCTGTTTATTTGACCTTACTTTAATGACCATCCGGTCACTGTTATTGACCTGTTGTTTTGTATTATTGCATATCGGATTGGAATCAATACATATATATATTACACAACTACCCGACGCAGTCCTCTATTGATGTTGCTGTGAGCGGTGTTGTGGAGAAAATCGCTGACGTAAAACGCTGTGTGGGTCATAAGAAGGCACGTAACGGTAACGTCATGACGCAAACGATGACGCGATGACTCACCTTTGAACCTAATTCACCTCTGAACCTAATTCACCTTTGAACCTAATTCACCTTTGAACCTAATTCACCTCTGAACCTAATTCACCTCTGAACCTAATTCACCTTTGAACCTAATTCACCTCTGAACCTAATTCACCTCTGAACCTAATTCACCTCTGAACCTAATTCACCTCTGAACCTAATTCACCTCTGAACCTAATTCACCTCTGAACCTAATTCACCTCTGAACCTAATTCACCTCTGAACCTAATTCACCTTTGAACCTAATTCACCTCTGAACCTAATTCACCTCTGAACCTAATTCACCTCTGAACCTAATTCACCTCTGACCTATCACCTCTGAACCTAATTCACCTCTGAACCTAATTCACCTCTGAACCTAATTCACCTCTGAACCTAATTCACCTCTGAACCTAATTCACCTCTGAACCTAATTCACCTCTGAACCTAATTCACCTCTGAACCTAATTCACCTTTGAACCTAATTCACCTTGAACCTAATTCACCTCTGAACCTAATTCACCTCTGAACCTAATTCACCTCTGAACCTAATTCACCTCTGAACCTAATTCACCTCTGAACCTAATTCACCTCTGAACCTAATTCACCTTTGAACCTAATTCACCTCTGAACCTAATTCACCTCTGAACCTAATTCACCTTTGAACCTAATTCACCTCTGAACCTAATTCACCTCTGAACCTAATTCACCTCTGAACCTAATTCACCTCTGAACCTAATTCACCTTTGAACCTAATTCACCTCTGAACCTAATTCACCTTTGAACCTAATTCACCTCTGAACCTAATTCACCTCTGAACCTAATTCACCTCTGAACCTAATTCACCTTTGAACCTAATTCACCTTTGAACCTGCATCTGTAACAATGAGTGGACCAAAGAAAAGAAAAGTCGACAATGAGTGCCGAGTGTTTAATGAGGAGCTAAATCTTTTTTCACCGATCTGCTACTGGCCCGTCTGTCACATTTTAAAACTCATAGTGGCCCCAGAGCCAAAATGTTTGCCCACCCCTGCTAGACCCAGGTGAGACCCAGGTGAGACCCAGGTGAGACCCAGGTGAGACCCAGGTGAGACCCAGGTGAGACCCAGGTGAGACCCAGGTGAGAGCTGCAAAGCATGCTGGGTAAAACACATCCTCACCAAGTAAGGTGGAGTTAAGCCCCGCGCCCTCCCGCACCTCCACCACATCAAACCCCGCCTCCACGTCAAAGTCCAGGAAGTGAAGTGCCAGGTTCCGACCGGCAGCGGCGTGCAGCGTCCACTGGCCTGCAAGGCATCATGGGTAAATAACAATCAAAGGCCTGCAGCAATGCATCATGGGTAAATAAACATCAAGAGCTGTACTCACACTGAGCCTTGTTCCCGTAGGATTGTGGGTAATTTGGAGAGCTGAAGGTGGAGTTCGGCTCCCAGAGATCAAAGGGTCCTCCGCAGTCAACTGATTAGTCAGAGCAGAGGGGTGGAGTCAGAGAATATTGGTGGCCTTGATCTAACCTGGTAAAGGGGGCGTGGCCTTGATCTAACCTGGTAAAAGGGGGCGTGACCTTGTTATAACATGGTAAAAGGGGCGTGGGCATGTTCTAGTCTGGTAAAGGGGGGTGGCCTTGTTCTAACCTGGTAAAGGGGGCATGGCCTTGTTCTTACCTGGTAAAGGGGGCATGGCCTTGTTCTAGCTTGGTAAAGGGGGCGGGGGCTTGTTCTAACCTGCTAAAGGGGGCTGGGCCTTGTTCTTACCTGGTATAGGGGCTGTGGTTGTTGGAGGCGGGACATTGGTTGGTTCAGGGGGGGCGGGGCCACAGGGGTCAGCGGTCAGTGCGATGTCATCCAGAGCGATGTCGCTCCTCATACCGCCCTCCTTCAGCGCCTCGAACACCACCTGCAGAGGTCAGAGGTCAAGTGACTGCCTGTGTGATGTCACTTCCTGTGTGATGTCACTGACCTTTGTCTTCGTCGTCAGGTGCAGCGTCACCTGGCCGTAGTTCCAGTTGTCGCCATAGTTACCGTCTCTCTGGAACACCACGGTAACGGCCGAGTCCTCCAGAAACACCTGGAGACGGTGCACCTCCTCGCCAAACATGTGGTACCTGTTTACATGTTTACAGTCATGTTGTTTACATTCCTGTTCATTACATGTTCATACTCCTGTTGATTACATGTGTGCATCTCGACCGGGTGACGACAATACCTATTGACGCAGCAACCACTGTAAGTTATATTCTTGTTTAATTAGACTTCTCTGTTTCATTTATTCTACTCTGTATAATTGTTCTGTAGTTATTGGAGCTAAAACGGCGCTTTTGAGAGATTTTAAATCTCAGATCTGCTCAAGGGAACCTGTTACACAGGTCGCAGTGGGCACTCAAGCCTGCATTACAATATAGGCAGGGCCAGTTTGCTGTCGCCCATCAGCTGTAGAGAGTTAACTAATTAGCGGGGCGTGGCCCTACAGCTGCGAGAACTCAGCAATCAGGCGTCCATTATAGGTAGCTCTTTCCTGGAGCATCAGACAGGCTAAGACTGACAAATACATTAGAGTCCTGCTGGAGCCACGAGGGAGGCAAAGAGGAAGCAAATCCTACTTTGATTGAGCTAAAGTATCGCTGGTGTTTTATTTTATTTGGTTGTTTAGCCCCTCATGCTATAATCATGTGTATTTTCTCCATTCCTGTTTATGTGTCTTCTCGCAATTATCACTGGCCCCGTGTATCTCCTAATCGATATAACCGGCCTGCTCTCGTCTATGAGATCCAACATCTAGTTTCAGGCGGCCTGTGGAACTGCCAGTCAGCTGTTCCTAAGGCTGACTTCATCTCTGGCTACGCCTCCCTGCAGTCTCTGGATTTCCTTGCTCTCACTGAGACCTGGATTACTCCATCCAACACATCCACCCCAGCAGCTCTCTCCACTGCATATTCCTTCTCCCATACACCCAGACCCACTGGCAGAGGAGGTGGCACTGGTCTCCTGCTCTCTCCCAAATGGAGCTTTTCCCTCTTCAAGCTACCTGACTTCACTCCTTCCACCTTTGAATTCCATGCCGTCACAGTAACCCATCCTATACAGTTAACCATTGTTGTTCTCTACCGTCCACCAGGCGCCTTGGGGGACTTCTTGGAGGAATTAGATCATCTCCTCTCACACATCCCTGAAACTGGTCCTCCCGTTGTACTTCTCGGAGACTTCAACCTCCAGACAGGGAAGATAGACGAACTAACATCTCTGTTAACCACCTTTGCTTTCTCACTGTCTCCGTCCCCACCGACTCATAAAGCTGGCAATGTCCTTGATCTCATATTCTCAAGGAACTGCTCTACTTCTAACCTCTCTGTAAACCCGCTCCACACATCCGATCACTTCTTCATTTCATTCTCTCTACCCCTTTCCAAACATAACAAACTAATCTCTTCTCATCCTGCACTTGTCCGCCGTAACCTTCGTTCCCTCTCCCCCCCTACCTTTGCCTCATCGGTGCTCTCAGCCCTCCCTTCCTCTGACTCGTTCCAACTGCTACCTCCAAACTCTGCTGCAGAAACTCTCCTCTCTACTCTCTCATCCTCTCTGGACTCTCTCTGTCCTCTCACATCTCGGCAGGCTCGTCAGTCCCCTCCTGCTCCCTGGCTAAATGATGCACTGCGTGCTAATAGAACCGTCCTTAGGGCAGCAGAGCGGAAACGGTGGAAATCCAAACACCGTGACGACCTCCTAACCTATCAGGCTCTCCTCTCCTCTTTCTCTGCTTCCATCTCTCAGGCAAAAAGCACTTTCTTTCAAGATAAGATCCAATCTTCCTATTCCAATCCTAAAAAACTATTTTCCATCTTCTCCACCCTCCTGGACCCCCCCAAAGCCCCTCCCCCCTCCTCCCTCTTGGACCCTCCCAAAGCCCCTTCCCCCTCCACCCTCTTGGACCCCCCCAAAGCCCCTTCCCCCTCCTCCCTCTTGGACCCTCCCAAAGCCCCTTCCCCCTCCACCCTCTTGGACCCCCCCAGAGCCCCTTCCCCCGCCTCCCTCTTGGACCCCCCCAAAGCCCCTTCCCCCTCCTCCTCCCTCTTGTACCCTCCCAAAGCCCCTTCCCCCTCCTCCCTCTTGGACCCCCCCAAAGCCCCTTCCCCCCTCCTCACTTCTGTCAAGCGACTTTGTTAACCACTTTGAAAAAAAAGGTTGATGATATTCGCTCTTCTTTTTCTGACTCACCTTTACTCACCGCTGGGTCACCAGACCCTCCTTCCACCAACACACTTACCTCCTTTTCCCCTCTCTCTCCAAGTGAGGTTCTTACCCTCATTACCTCTGCCCGCCCTACCACCTGTCCTCTGGACCCTATCCCTTCAAACCTCCTTCAGACTATCGCTCCTGATATTCTACCGTTTCTCACCCATTTCATCAACACTTCTCTAACTTCTGGTCACTTTCCAAACAGTCTCAAGGAGGCAAGAGTAAACCCTCTCCTAAAGAAACCCACTCTCAACCCGTCTGATGTTATAAACTACAGGCCTGTCTCTCTCCTCCCGTTCCTGTCTAAAACACTTCAACGCGCTGTCTTTAAACAACTCTCCTGTTATCTCAATCAGAACAACCTTCTGGATCCGCACCAGTCTGGTTTCAAGGCAGGTCACTCCACAGAAACTGCCCTCCTTGCTGTCACTGAGGAACTGCACACTGCCAAAACTGCATCCCTCTCCTCTGTCATCATCCTGTTGGACCTGTCTGCTGCATTCGACACGGTGAATCATCAGATCCTCCTTCGCACTCTCCAAGAACTTGGAGTTTCAGGCTCTGCACTTTCCCTCCTCACCTCATACCTGAAAGACCGTACCTACAGGGTGACTTGGAGAGGGTCTGAGTCCGACCCTTGTCAATTAACTACAGGGGTCCCTCAGGGCTCTGTTCTTGGTCCCCTCCTCTTCTCCTTGTACACAAACTCCCTCGGATCAGTCATTAGCCCGCATGGTTTTTCTTACCACTGCTACGCTGACGACACCCAATTAATTCTGTCCTTTCCCCGCTCAGAGACCCAGGTCGTCGCACGCATCTCTGCTTGTCTAGCTGACATCTCTCAGTGGATGTCTGCTCACCACCTCAAGCTCAACCTTGACAAGACTGAGCTGCTCTTCCTCCCGGGAAAAGATTGTCCCACTCTTGACCCTAACAATCAACATCGGCCCCTCTAGTTGTTTCCCCGACTCAGACTGCAAGGAATCTGGGTGTGACCCTAGATAACAACCTGTCCTTCACTGCAAACATCGCTGCTACAACCCGTTGCTGCAGATACACGCTTTACAACATCAGGAAGATACGTCCCCAGCTGACTCAGAAAGCGACTCAGGTTCTGGTCCAGGCTCTCGTCATCTCACGCCTAGACTACTGCAACTCCCTCCTGGCTGGTCTACCTGCATGTGCCATCCGACCTCTGCAGCTCATCCAGAATGCAGCGGCTCGTCTGGTCTTCAACCTTCCTAAATGTTCCCACACCACTCCGCTCCTCCGCTCCCTTCACTGGCTTCCGGTAACTGCTAGAATCCACTTCAAGACACTGGTACTTGCTTACCGTGCTGCGAATGGATCTGGCCCTTCCTACATCCAGGACATGGTTAAACCGTACACCCCAGCACGTGCACTACGCTCTGCATCAGCCAAACGACTCGCTGCACCCTCGCTGCGAGGGGGACCCAAGTTCCCATCGGCAAAAACACGTGGGTTTGCTGTCCTGGCTCCAAGATGGTGGAATGAGCTCCCCATTGACATCAGGACAGCAGATAGCTTACACACCTTCCAGACTGAAAACTCATCTCTTTCGACTCCACTTCGAGCGATAGAACTATTAACAGAGCACTTATATACTAATAAAGGACTGGCTTATCTAAAGCCAGTTGAGTAGCACTTGAAATGTTTGGCTCTATGAAACCTGATGTACTTTATGATTCTGTTTTCTTCAAGGTTGTATTTTGTTGGTCGAACGCACTTATTGTAAGTCGCTTTGGATAAAAGCGTCAGCTAAATGTAATGTAATGTAATGTAATGTTTATAGTCCTGTTGTTTACATGTTTACAGTCCTGTTGTTTACATGTTTACAGTTCTGTTGTTTACATGTTTACAGTCCTGTTGTTTACATGTTTACAAGTGTACATGTTTTTGTTTGTTGTTGTTTGTTTACCAGAAGCTCAGACACATGGCTTCGGGGTGCGGGCTCAGAGGCAGGCTTTGGATCCTGAAGCTCTTCAGCCATTGGCCGGGACTCCGAGGGGTGATGATGTAGAAACCTGTCAAACAAACAAGAACAACAATAAAGTTAAGCATAACAATAATAATAACAATAACTAGAAAATTCCGAGACAGGGAGACAGAGGTAAAGTATTGGTAAGATACTTTATTTTTCCAAAAAACACGATGAACAAAAGAAGGTCACTAACTAATCTCAGGATGAGATGACAAAAAATGAAACCAAAAGGAAAATCGCTCACGTAGTGAGGAACAAAACTATTCTTGAGCATAAAAGAGCATAGACCTGACCATGGCAAGAGACAATACGAACTGACACTGAACACTGGGAGACAGGGGAATTTAAACACAGGGTTACTAGACACAGGTGGGAACAATCAGGGGCGGGCTGACACTGATGAGCACAGGAGACACACAAGGAGTGACAGGTGAAAACAATCAGGAAATTAGACATACCAGGGAACTAACGACAGACATGAAAACACAGGGAAAAGAGACCAGACAATATACAGGGAGG